GAGGAGGAGGAGGAGGAGGAGGAGGAGGAGGAGGAACTTTAACGGGTTCACTTACGAAAACGACGACGAGGCCGAGGGTGACCATCCAACCCCATCCTCCGTCGGAGGCCTCGTAATCGCTGGACGCCTCCTCGTCCTCGCTCTCCTCCACTCGCCGTGCCTCCAGTCCGGCCTTGTCCTCCCCCTGTTTGAAGCCATTCTTCAGGCTCTTCTTCAGCACCATCGTGGCGGCCTCATTAAATACCGGTCGGGCAGACGCGCGGCTCCTATCGCGCCGAAGCTGCGTCCTCCTCGACTTGATCCTCCTCGGGCGATTTAATTGCCTGCAGTGGTTGCGATGAGCGATCGCGATGACTGTTATCGCGTTATGCTGATGAGACTCGCGCGTCGTGCTTCAAAATTTGGACATGTGCGTTGAATAGTTGGCACTATTAACTGTGCTGGTAATGCGCGGCTTGCGTCTATGTGCCGTTTTGTGAATCGAGGTCGTTAAATTACGTTGGCACCAGAGAAGGATTCTAGGGAGCTGCTAGCCACGTGAAATAATAAGCCTTGATATGTTCGTCAAATATTTTTATGCTTCACGACGAGATAACATTGTAATCTGTGTTGCGCGTGAAAAAACAGCTCTTAGGCCTTTTCTCTCTACGTGTGCGCATGCAGCTGTGTTAGTGCGGGTGGTCGCGCGATGCTATTGGAGGGACGTCCGATGCATCGGTATTGTGTAATAATGACTTTTTTTTTTTCCACGTTTTCGTTTATCGTTTGCGACTAGGCTGCCGAGATGAATATTCGGATGCACTTACGGGCTCTCTGACTTGATTGATCGACGATAGTGCTTTATATTCGTCTGAATGAGCGTTTGCTCGAGCGAGCCGAAGTATCTAAGAGATCTTTAAACTATTTTCCTTATCAGTGATAATAACGCTCTTGAATTACTTGAATTTAGCTGGTTGACAAGTAGTATTTTAAAAAGAAAAATGTGTTAGTGCGAGCTGTCAGATTTTTGTTTTTTCTTTTTATTTTTCTTATTTTTTTTTTAATGCATAAACTTACAGAGAAATGATCTGGATATTTATACGGCAGTATATAATTTACTTTCGGATAATGATGATTATTGAGCTTAGATTCTAGTAGTAATGCATTATTTCATACAACGTAATCATAAAAGATTTAAACACCTTGGCATTACAGCTTCATGTATATAGCGATACTGTAACGAACGAAGCTTCGACTGTTATTAACAATTAGGCGACATTTTATTTCTATAATTATAATACGCAGCGTCCTGCTCAATATTTCACATCGATAAGGACGCAAAAAGTCAATTTCTATCCGAAGCAAACTCATGAAATATGACAATAATAATGATAATAATGATAATAATGATAACGATGATAATAGTGATATTGTTGTTGGTATTGCTGTTATTACGATTATTAATGAGCTAAAAATTCAAAATTCAAATACTTTTTTGGAATACGTTAGCCGAGTGTGAAGATTATCATTGATTCGAATATAAAAATCAATATAACGTACTTTTCTTAAAACACGCGCTATGATTTCTAATCATAGAAGTAGGATCTCGATATAATTAAAATTAATATCAAACGAATTTTGTATATAAGCCACACAAAAACTTAAATATTTGAACGAATCTAGTTATTTGAAAGAAAAAAAAAAAAAGAAAAAAAAAAAAAAAGTTTAATGGCAAATTTATCTATTCTTTTAATTACCAAAAAATTCCATTAACGTATCTTAATTTTCAAATCCAAGTTGATAATGACATAGGAGACAAAAGTTATATTTAATTGTCATTATGGTAATTAGGCAAAATAGTATAGAAAGAAATATATTTTTAGATAATAAAGTATTTACATTTACTTATCTATTGTATTATTTGTAGCTATTTTATTACATAAAGATATAAAAATTCATTATTCCCAAATATTATTTGATATATTCTATTGGAATAAAGACGGGCTTGTTATGTATAATTTTGTTTAACAGTAATTTTGTAAAAAGAAATAATCTTGGTAATGACAAAAATTAAGCAAATTACATCGAGACACTATTTTACATTATTCATTGATTTTTTTTATTGAATAATTGAAAAATACTGAAATATTTCAAATATATGATATTAATATGTAACAATGACAAACTGACCTTAACTATTGGCTATTAATGCACTTTTGGTGATCTTTAAAATACATCTGTTAACATTGGAGAAAAAACTTTTCTTATTAAATTCCTCTATTTTAAAATTTTATATTTTAATTTAATACCGAAATTTTTCTATTTACATATATAATATATTAAATTTACACTATATTTTGTTTATAAAATTAATAATGAGCTGTCAAGCTAAAATTAGTGAAACAAAGATTTAAGAGAGTATAATTCAATAATATTTTTTATCGCAAATTTCTATATTTTATCATGATTATCGCAAGGAAGTACGAAGAAGACTTTTTAATAAATAAAGGAAATTTGTTGTATTTGAATGGTATTAATTCTTGTCAGAAATTAAAAAAAAAAAAATTAGATTCAAATGATTGATAGATAAAGAAGCTATAGAATGATTGACTTATAATTCGTTTATTCAAATGTCAGGCAAATGATGTCTCCCTTAAAATGTGATTGATAATTGATTTATACTTACTTGCTGATATCACACCTGAAATAAATACAATTGCAAAGTATTTAATTGAAATATGTAATTTTCATATTATACGTTATGAGAAAGAGTTAATATTCTTTATTATATTGACTTTTTATTATGTAATTCTGGCTTTGCGGTTATTTATTAATATAAATACATCAGAATACAAGGAAATTGTATGTTTTGAAAATTAAATTAAGTAATAAGTGCAATTTTATAATTTTGACCCAAGAAAATGTAATATGTAATAATTTGTTAATCAAGCAAAATTGACTGATGTAGCTCGATGATCTAACCAACGATCCTTCAACATTGTTTATAATCTTTTAATATCAGTAGCAGATGCAGTTTGATAAAATCTATGTATATTAATTAATTATCCGCTATTTTATCTACACTAATTAAAAAAAATTATTTGTCTTGGCATATTAATCTTTGAAATCGGTGACCAAAAATTGATAATTAAATTCATTCGATAGAATATCGCTCATGTTTTTAAAGTAAGATCACTCGTGCGCAGAGTATTAATTATTATCTAGCTGAATTTGTGATTAACTTAGTTTGTAATTTAAAATATGCTTGTCATAATCGCCGACTCGGGCGAGAGCCGAGTCTCGTATACTTGAAAATTAAATCCCGCCTGGCGATTCCATTAAAAAAGACCAGGAGACAAAGTTTCGTACTCGTCAGTCAAATATTCGGCTCGGCTTACGATGCAATTTCAGGCAAGAGAGAAGGATAGCGAAACGCGAGCCTCTGCAGACTAGGAGCGTCGAGCCCTGATGTATTGCAAAATAAAAAAAAGAAAGAAAAAAAAAAAGGCGCTGATAGCCGTGCCAGCCACCTCGTTAATAATAAGCAGAGTGCGAGAATTACCGATGTATCCGGCAAGCAATTGCGGCAGGTCCAGCGGTCCCCTCCTCCCATGTTATTCACCGAGTCAGCGGCTCGCTCCAGTCTCCCATCCGCGACCCATCCTCCGCACCCCCCGGCTGGTGAAAATCCAAGCGCCGCCAGACGGATATCTACATGTCTATATCTCTGTCTCTAACTCTTTCTCAACTCCCGCTCTATCGTCCCCTCTCTTCCACCCAACCACGTGCCCCCACCCTCTCTCGTGTACGTAGATTTTTCCGAGACAGACGGACGGATAGACAGATGGACGAGGAAGGAGAGTCTGAGAGACAGGAGTGAGAGTGAGGACGGTTTCACGGTGGCGAGGGAATAATGGCGAGGGACGATAATAGAGATAGAGAGAGAGATAGATAGATATATATATATATATATATATATATATATATATATAGAGAGAGAGAGATAGAGAGAGAGAGAGAGAGAGAGATGGGTAGAAGATAGACGATCGGGGAAGTGCGTCTTGGCGGTATTCACGCGAGCGTGCTTTGCTAACTGAGCGGATTCCGACGCGTCATGAGACTCGTTCAGCGTCCCCTTGGAAGCGCGCGCGCACATCCGATCCTTTGAAACCAGCTGTAACACTAGGAAGTGCTGCTGGACACGCGACTCTCGTTCCTTCCGGGAGGTACTTCCGTGCGCCGTCACGTGCGTTAACAAGTCGACATCGGACTCGCGGATGAGGCGCCTCATATAGGCTCATATAGGCGCCGCAATTGGGTCGCTTTCGTAAATTACATACGATAAAGGCTTTGAATGAATGAATGAATGAATGAATGTGTGTGTGCGTGTGCGTGTGCGTGTGCGTGTGCGTGCGTGTGTTTGCATGTGTTTGCGTGAGAGAGAGAGAGAGAGAGGGAGAGGGGGGGGGGAGGACAGGAGAGGGAGAAAAGTCAATTTTATTATTTTGAAGTTTTCCAAGGTATTCCAACGGCTCATTAACTAATTGACTTGATGTGACGTAGAGACAATCACTGTCCAATTCAGTTATAAATTAAAGGGTGAAACGAATTTAAAGTAAAAATAGATTTCATTAATCGCTAACTCATATGACGTACCGCCCAATGCACCTAATGACGAAATCGTGATAAACTTTGAACGATAAAAGGAGTCACATAATCATTAAACCAACTGTATATCGATTCTTTTTTGTTCGGAAAAAATGAAGCCTCGTTCTTTTCTTTAAAGCGCGAGAGCAAATATACGAATGATCGAATAAATTAAACTGACATGGGTAAGTCGTACGGATATATTGTACTGGTCGAGCGTTTCTACTGTCTCATACGTGTTTCTCGAGACTTACAGCATCGCTGCAGCCAATATATCAATCGATGACAAATAAGAAAAGTCTAAATTCGTCAGTAAATTGGAAAAGTATATTGAAGCGAGTCAGAGTAGCGTGAAACACTAATTAATGAAACAACGAAAATAATAGCTCACCAAAAATAAATAAATCATCGTTATATTAATGAATAAGGTATGATTACGTTACGGCATTCGTCGACTATTGTTTACACGCCCATCTCCGTTCACTAACTTAAATTGACAGTTTAGTCAAAGTCACTGTTTACGTATGCAACTTAATGCCAATTACATACACAATGGCCAGTTTAATTCAACAAAATAGAGCAATTGCGCGGCATCGGGAATTAGCGCTCTTTGCTTAATGCTCTTCATACAACACACCCAATGTACATTTAAACGACGCTGTTACGATCGAGCCAAACTAAAATACTATGCAATTCTGTTTAAAAAACAACGAAGCTGTTTCTTCTTTTACTTTAACGATAAAATTTCTTAATACATTTCACCATACAACTATGCGATGCATCAAGGAAGCTTCATTATCTTTTTTTTTTTTTTTTTTCTATTTCATTATCGACGAATAAAATTTTATGCTAAATTTTAATATGTTAATAAAAATAACAATGCCTGATAATGTATAAACAATTAATGATGCATATTCACAGATCTTAATAATATTATATTCAACTATGCTCGGCATTCAAAGGACTTTGTGAATAATATTCCTTCGACTTGTGTCAAATGAATGACAAAAACGATTTTTTAAGTGTTTTTATTTTATATATACTTTTAAACAGTTCGAATAAGCATCCATCGTAGAAAAATATCATTATCTTACAAGATAAAAAAACTACAAGATAAGGAGAAAACTATTTTGGAAAGATAATACAAAAACTCTCAATTTCAATGAACCTTCGAAAAGAATATATATAAGCTGAATATCAATACTTTTTTATTCTTATTGATACATGTAAAATATTTTATTTATAA